CCCACATGCATTGGCACCCAATAGTCTTCCATTCATGGTCAGTACAGCTTTCAGTAAATGCCTATAGAGAGAGCCTCAGAAGTTCAAGGTCTCCTTCACTAGACTGCAGGGTACTTAAGGGCAGGGGCCACTTAAGTATCCTCTGTTTCTCTCACAAAGATTAGCCCAGTGGGGCTTCCTGGCCATGGTGCTTGCCTGATAGTCTGACCCCAAACATTAAGCATATCAGCACAGATTGCACCTAGCATGCACAAGTCATCTCCCTGGGCTCAGGAAAGGCAGTGGGGAGTGCACCAAAGACATCCGTACCCTGCAGTGTCAGGAATGGCACACACAGCATGCTAGCCCACTGGACCACTGAGCAAAGCTTACCTCTTTTATTTAAATAACTGTGATTGAAATATTTTAAAGACAGAATACCCTGTAACGGAACACCCGTAATATCATATAACCTTCTCTTGATGATTCAGAGGCATCATTCTGAATAATGACTAACTTCACAGGACGACATTATAACCTCATAGTTGTACGGGGTTGTCTGCCCTGCACTGGATGGCTCAGCCTGCCATGCTCTGGAGTTCTTTTTTTTTTTTCCTTTTTGTCTCTTTTTCACTGACCGGTAACGGGATCGCAACCCTCGGTGTTGTGCCCGTACCGGGGACCGGCGCCTGCACTGGATGGCTCAGCCTGCCATGCTCTGGAGTTCTTTTTTTTTTTTCCTTTTTGTCTTTTTTTCACTGACCGATAACGGGATCGCAACCCTCGGTGTTGCGCCTGCACCGCGCTCAGCCAGTGAGCGGGAACCGGTCTTGGAGTTCTTGTGCTACTTTTCATAGCTTTCTGTCTCCGCCTCTCTCTCAAGCTACGCGTTGTCTTTTGGAAGTGTGTCTTTCTCTCCCTTAAGAGTTCCTCCTGATCTGTTGGCAGCTAGAAATCCTAGTAACCAAGTTTGATATAATAAAAAGATAATATTAATAATAACGGTAACATACACAGTTTTTTATGTACCAGGCACTATTCTAAGTGCTTTTTGTATTAACTCACATTTACTTAATCCTTGTAAAAACGGTGCCATTATTATTCCCATTTTACAGATGAGGGAGCTGAGGCCCAGAAAGGCTATGTACCTCATCACAGTCACACAGCTAACAAATGGTGGAACTGGTATTCGGACCTGGGCAGTCTGGTTCTGGAGTCAATAGGTATAACCACTACCCTGTACTGCCTCTGATTGTAACCGGTTATAACTGCTCAGTAGGACTCTGGCTCTCCGCCGTGGAGTCCTGGCATACATGGTATTCCAATCTATCTGAAGAGTGTGAAGATTAAATGGCAAAGCTTGTAAATGATTTAATTAAAAAGACAAAGAAGATTCAAAATTAACCTTATAACATTGTTCCTTGTAGTCACTTGCATCAAATAGCAACCACGTCCTCTGTGCAGGTACTAGAGGAAGAAATGCTGAGATCTACTGGCTTCAAACTGGGGTGGCCATCCATGGGCCTCCCACAAGGCCACATTGTTTGGGGACTGAATAAGTCATAAGTCTGTCATATATGCAGATGCTGTTGTGATTTATGAAATCCTTTGTCTAAAGGGGTTATTACTTTTATAAATGTTTTTTATCATTTTCTCAGTGAATTGATACTAAAATGTCATTACTATCATGTAGGAAGACATGTTTTGAAGTGAAAAGCCACTAACCTACAATAAGAGAAAATAGGTTTTGAAAGAGTGTTTGATGAGCTCTCCAATGAATGAGTGTAAGCTTTGGTAGGTTGACTTTGTGAAACCTATATGGCTGCTCAGTAGCTTTTGTGACTTCCTTCTGAGTTCCTTGCTGAGTGTGAAATGGCTTTGCGCAGGTTATTTCCATGCAAGACATGTTCCCTGCCTAATGAAGTCAAGAATCAAATTGGGAAGTCAAGATCTGCAAACATGAACAATTTTAAAACATTTCAAGATGGGCCGGCCCAGTGGCGCACTGCTACAGTGCGCCGCTTGGGAAGCGTGGCGGTGCTCCCGCCGAGGGTTCGGATCCCACATACAGACCGGCCGCTCACTGGCTGAGCGAGGAGCGGGGGCAACACCGAGGGTTGCGAACCCGTTGCCAGTCCCGGTCCGGTACGGGGGCGACCCTGAGGGTTGCGATCCGTTGCCAGTCACGAAAAAAGACCAAAAAAAAAAAAAAACATTTCAAGATGACACTGGTGGCCTAACGACAACAGGGAAGAGCACATACAATTTTTCCAAATGAAAGACATAGACAATCTCTGGTTTGGGAGAATCTTACTGATCAATAGACCAGTGGAAGGTACAGAGACACAAAGAAGATAATGAGGAGCTGATATTCATTCATTCAATACATATTTATTGAGCACCTACTATATGCCACGTGCTATGCTAACACTGGGGAGAAAAGACGTACATCTGCAAAAACACTAAACAAGTTAACAGATAGGTGGTTCTGTGAAGGATGGGTGGAGTATAAGCAAGAAGCAAGAACTCAACTATGACATTTCTTGGTTTCCAAAGGAATAAGTCAACTAGGACTTGAAGAGAGAGATAAGGAGTCTTTGGTGGGAAGAAAGTTCTCTTCAGCCCACCTTTTAGGGCCCCGGGAAGTGCTTGGAAATGCACAATGGAGTGAGCTTTGACCTCCTGGGGGGGGTGCCTGAAGGGCTCCCCTGGGGTGGAGCCCTCAAGTCTGGCCTCTGGAAGCAGACAGACCTAGGTTAGAGTGAATGCTGACACTATCATCTTATTAGCTCAGAGGCATGATATTTTAATTCCTCTGAGCTTCCTCAGCTATTAAAAAATCAGAAGTATTTACACATTTATGGATTGTTGTGAGAATTTAAGAAGAAAATGAATGTGAGGGCCAGCCCATGGCTCACTTGAGAGAGTGTGGTGCTGAAAACACCAAGGCCACGGGTTCAGATCCCTATGTAGGGGTGGCTGGTTGGCTCACTTGAGGGAGTGTGGTGCTGACAACACCCCTTACCGGTCATCTTTTAAAAAAAAAAGAAAAGAAAATGAATGTGCCTGACATTGTATCTGGCACGTAGTAGGTGGTCAATAAGCATTAGTCTGCATTTTCATCCTCTTTCCCTTCCTGTGCCTCCTCTTTGGAAGGGCCACCTCCCTGCCCTGGACAGAAGGGAGCCTGGGTTTTCAGCTCCCATCCTATGGTTTTACAAATGTGTGACACTCAACTGTCTCTGGGAAAATAGGCCTTGGGGACAACAGCAAACCCAAGTCATAAATGAACACCTCTCTCAGATTTCTGAGCTTGGAGGCTCCAGATCCAGACACACTGGTGAGGCCTTCCTAAGCTGGGCTAACCTGCATCAAGGAACTACGTCTCTACTTGGATGACATTCCCTTCAGGACAGTGGAAAGAACCAACCTTGTGCTGGCCCAACATTTCTATTTTAACTGGAGCTCTGCAGCCCAACCCCAAAAGCCCAGCTCCACCAGCCTATCTACAACTTTTACAGCTCCCTGTGCTAGCATCGCAAGAGTGGTGTGGGCAAGGGTCTCCACTGGGTACATAGCTAGACAGGAAACATGGGACTCCATGGGGATATGACTGGGTGAGGGTGGGGGTGGCTGAGGCACAAGCTGATTTGGGGATGGGGGTGGGCATCCACTTCTGGATTGCTGGCCCTCCACCATGCAGAGTGGTGCTCCTACAGCAGGGGCCCCAATTCACCCAAGGCCAGGTGCTGCTGAGCATTGTAGATGTGGTGCTCTTTTGGGGGACCAGGAGTGATCTAGGAAGGGACATGGAATTGGATTCTAGTCCTGGTTTGGCCACCAACTTGCTGACTCCAATCCTGATGTTTTTACCTTTCTGGGTCTCAGCTGACCTCTCAGTGTTCTTCCTATCCTGAGTTAATAGGCCATCTCTTTCCTCCTGAAATATAGAAGAGGGGCCTCCAGGCATCAGTGAGCTGGGCCCTGACCAGAACTCCTGTGGCAGTGCCTGACTGAACCCCAATAATGGAACCCTGTTCCATCCTTGGCTAGTTGGAGCCTTAGAGCTCAGGATCCCTGCCCTATAGAGGCCGTGTGCTGCATGGGAGCAGGGGCTGTGCTGAGCTGCACTTTATGCCCACCCTAAGGCCTCGCATAGAGCAGGCCATGCTAAGATTGTGTGCGAAGCCCCATAAAGTACCTGGGCCTTGAGCCTGAGTGTTCTCACTCTCTCCAGGATAAACACAGGAGGCAGGTGGGGCAGGGGCTGGGGGAGGTGCAATCAGCATGCCCAGGCCTGCACACTCCTGTGGGTGCGAGGAGGAACGACTGCCTGGAAACTCCTTCCAGGGCTGCTGGTGAGCTGGGATCAGCAGTGGGGAACCACGACCCACAGAGAGGAGACTGGGACAAGGTCCCAGGAGGAGGCCTGAGGGGAGTGCCTCAACTCTGTCTGTTTCCCAACCATGGAGAATCTTTTTCCCATTAGGGAAAAAATTTCCCATCCCCTGAGCCCTGTGCTGACTTTCTCCCTGCTCCTGACATCTTCCTCGTACCTGCCCTCTCTCCACCCCTCAAGAAAATGATCCCATAACTAGGAGAGTCTCTAGGGGTGCCTGCATCTGAGCAGGCACTCGTTCCTCAGGCCCACAGCTTAGCAGGGCCTGAGTTCTGTCCTGGAGCCGGGGTGGGGTCTGGGTGCAGACTGCAGACACAAGTGGAACAGGGGATGAACAAGGCAACCACACCGACCCATACCCTTGCTCCTGCCCAGGGAGACCTGCCTAGTCCTCCCAGCATTGCTGAGTTCAGTGGCTACACTGGTTACCAAATAACTGCTCCACAGCTCAGATGCAAAGTCCAAGTGTGGTTTTTAATGGTGGTCGGAACTTCTCTGTAAATCTGCCATGTTAGTTCCCTTCTCCAACCCCAGAACTGGACAGGAAGGCTTGTAGGATTACCGCCTTTCTCCACCTGGACTCGGAGCATCATCCTAGAGCCCCAGCTCTTCCCCTCACACAATCTTCCCCCCAAGTCTCCCCTGGGCACCAGCACTCAGATCTGTCCTTAGGGCAGAGTGGCAGGAAGGCTGGGGCGGGGCAGCCCCCGATGCCCGCAGTGCTCTGAAGATTCATTCTCCCCATCCCAACCCACAGCAGCCCTCTCTCCCAGAGTGCAGAGAACCCTGGGGTCCCTGACCTTGACCCTCCTCTCCAGGTGCAGGAAACAAGGAGCTATGGGAATGTAATGACAGCCTGAGGAAGACCCTGACCAGGGAGGGTGGTAGGAACTCTGAGGGCAGTGCCTGCCGCTCCCTCCTCTTAGGCCTCACTCCTGACGTGCCTCCCGGGCCTCTGAGACACATACACAAATCCGAGCAAGGCCCACAGGACGCTGTGGAGCCTGGAGTTCCGGCTGCTGGTCCCACCCGCCCCTGCTCCCGCCCCGGATGCTGGCAGCTACAGAGGACAGGCAGGCAGACTTCTCGCCCAAACCTGCATGATTGTGGCAGACCCCAGTCCAGCCCTACCCTCCCACCGACCCCTAGACACTCACACTCCTTCATCATGCCGATGTCCACACAGCGCTTGAGCCTGCAGGCCTGGCAGTGACGCCGGTTGTCCTTGGTGATGCGGCAGTCCCCACTGAAGGGACACGTGAACAGTGCCTTCCGCTTCATGCTTCGCCTGCAGAGAGCACACGCCCTGCCCTGGGTCACTGACCCTCCAGCTCCTCAGCCCTGGCTGTGGAGAACAGCCTGCCAGGGCTGTGACAACGATGGAGACCTGCCCATGAGGCCCCCAAGTGCCCATTTCTCCCACAGAGGATGTGGGGCCCGTCCCACCCCCCAGACCACACCCTCCAGGCTGGGTGCCAACCGGCCTCTCCTCCTCCTTTCTTTGCCTGCTGGGTTCCATCATTGCTTTTACTTACTTTTACAGTACTCTGATCCCCTTTTTAAAATTATACTGGAAATAAATGAGCAAAATTTCTTGGTAAAGTTTTTAAAAAATACTGAAATCTACAGAGTGGCCCTCATAATGGTGTTTAATGAGCCATTATGAGAAGCAAGGATGCTAGCCTCAGCTTTAAGTCCTCTAAAGTCCAGAAGATTCTAGAAGACTCCAGAAGACTCTAGGCCATCATATGCACAGGAACACAGAGAAGGAAGAAAGGCCCAGACCATAGCTCTAGACATAGACATCCAGATAACCTGCCCGGAAAGAGAAAGGCCACGTGAGCGGGTGGGAGCCCTGAGGTCTCGCCTTGGCTCTCTGAAAGGCCGAGGAAGTCAGGCTCTGTAAGAACAGAAAACTACCAAAGAGTTCTTAGCTAGGAAGGTGACACCCCCCCATCCTATGTAAACCTCCATGCGTGTATTTGTGTGCACGTGTACATGTGCAAGTGCATGGGCAAGCTTGAGGGATCATTTTCTTCATTCTGACATTCTCTCCCACTGCCAGCCACACCACATGGTCTTTGGGAGGCTGCAGAAAGGACATCTCCTAGAGGGACCGCCCCAGAGACTCATCATCCTAGAGGCTCCTGTTGTTCCTCCCAACCCCAGTAGGTGTAGGCCTTAATTTTGCCCCAGGTCAGGTGACAGGATTCGCCTGGGGAAAGATGGTGGAAGAATCACTTCCTGAATAAGCAGCAGCATCTTCCAAGGAGCTGCTGAGTATGGAGATGCTCAAGCATTAGAAGCAAAGGCCCAGCCCCAACCCCTTCCCTCCCCTGGAGATGAGCTGATGACATCACCTTCTCCAGATGTCGGACACTAGCTATAATTCTTTGTAAAAAAAAATGACTCGTTGTTCACATTCACTAGAACACACATGCAGTTTATGACAATCATATCCATCAATTGACATACTTGCTCCAACAAATGGACAGATGGGGACCAAACCAACTCGACCCATGGGACAGAGGAGACCCGAGCAAGGCTCTGCTGGTGGTCACAGGCAGTCACGGTCTTAGATCCATAGGAGGCCCAGAGATTGTTAGTATAATCCCCTCATTTTATAGATGGGACCACCGAGGTTAGGAAACTTGCCAGTGAGGCTATTCAGCAAGAAGTTAAAGCTCCTGGGCCTGGAGGCTTGGCTTTTAGCTTCCTGGATTGTTTTCAACCCCAGAAAAAGAAAAAAGTGCTCAATGAAGTTGAGCCCACAGGCAGACAGCCCCAGGCCTCTGGCTCTGGGGCACGGCTCAAGGCCGGGAGTGATCAGTGTGGAGGAAGGAAGAGCTGCTGGTCTGGGGCCTTGGTTCTGGTACCCTCCTGTGACAGCCCTCATTCCCCAAGGGGCACACCAGCAGACCCGGGGTTGCCAGGGCGGGTGGAGCAGTGCCAGGCTATTAGGGGTGGTTTAGCCCCCAGTCTAGCCTACCCAAGGCCCAGTCCTGCCCCTGCAGTAACTACCCAGAGAGAGATCATATGTCAGGCTTTTGTCCCCCTTTATGGAAACAAGAAACCTTTGACCCTTCACCTCTGTACTTCCGCTGCAGCTTTTGGGAGGAACTGGACAGTGTGGAAGTGCCATGAGAACTGCGAGGGCTACCCAGAAGTGAGGAGCAGTCGTCAGCACAGGGCACGCCGACGTGTTCTAGGATGTGAAATTGGTGTCCCTCTTTTACTCCTTCCCACTTTGTGGTTCTTGAGGCTTCACCTGTTACCACAAATTCTCAGGCCCCAGAACACCCATAATTCTCTAAACCTACTCAACGACCAGAAGTTTCTAATTCAGAGCAAACTCTCATTTCCTTTTTTTTTTTTTTTACAACTGGGCATTTTGCCCGTGGGCTAAAGGCTGCTCTCTCCTCCCACTCACTGTCTTGTCTGGCTCAGAGCTCTTCCT